AAACTATCAGGAAGTATATTCCCCACCATTGTTTGACCTAAGGCACTTTAGCTTGGAACCAGACTCTTTTTCAACTTTAGCCTTGAATTTAACAAACACCTCAAAGGCATCAAACTTAGATTTGAGAAAATAAATCCATGTGTATCTGCTATAGTCATCAATAAAGACTATAAAATATCTATTACCAGACAAGGATTGTTGAGTCATAGGCCCTGCTACATTAGAATGTACCAATTCAAGTTAGTTTCCTGCTCTCTTAAAACTGACAGATGGAAAAGGTTTTTTGGTTTGTTTACCAAGCTTGCAAACACCAACACTAAAGTTGATTGACTAATTTTAGGTAACTTCTCTACCGGTTTCTGAGATTGCAGCAAGCTCATATAATTGTAGCTACATTGACCTAGTCTTCTGTGCCAAAGCAATAATGTATCTACACTGTTGCTACTGACTTGCATACACATTTCAATTAAATTGACATGAAAACATCTATTTTTCATTTGAACATTCATCAGTAATTCACCAGAGGGATCATATATGGTACATACTTCATTCTTAAATATAAGCGCATAATTATTTTCCATCATCTGACCGACACTCAGCAGATTCTGTGTTATATCAGGTATTAACAGAACATCATGAACATACCTTTGATCTGAAGATGTGTTGATCCCAACTGTACCTTTCCCCACAGCATCAAGATAAACACCATTTCCTATCTTTACTTTTGACCTATAATGAGTATCTAGATCAATAAATAAAGAGGGATTAGGTGTAACATGATTAGAACTGCCACTGTCGAGAAGCCACTGCACATTATCTGAAGAACTACTTCCTGTAGCCACAAACAACTGTTCCTCTGAGACCTCAACATTTTCAATAGCATGAGAGACTTCTTCTTTTACCTCAGGTTTGTTCTTACAAGCCCTTTCCACATGTCCTAACTGCTTGCATGCATTTCATCTTACACCACGCCTGTGCCAGTAGTATGACTCAAGATGACTCCTCTTCTTACAATGAGAACAATTGGAAATCTGGTTCTCCTATTCTGTTCTTTCTTTTCTTGTGAGTTTCCCTTTTGCTTATCCTTTGCATCACTCACATTCTTCTTTGCTGAAGTATCAACATGAGCCTTTCCTTTCATTTGAACAGAAAGGGCTAAATCAGCTTTCTCAATTTTTCTAGTTACTTTCCTATGTTCATTAGCCTCAAGAGCACTCACTAAATCAGTGATTGATAGCTCTGAGATGTCTTTCATTTGTTCCAAAGAGGAAACAATAGCATCAAATCTCTCCAGTAAGCTAATGAGTACTTTCTCCACAACCTTTGCATCTGTCAAAGACTCTCCTATCAGTCGAATTTGATTCACCAACTTCATCACCATGTCAATGAATTCTTGCATAGACTGACTTTCCTTCATTCTCAGCATTTCATATTATCTCTTAAGATTTTGTAAACGCATCTGCCTACCTCTTGTAGACCCCATAAACTTTTCTTCAAGTTTGCTCCAAGCCTGCTTAGCTGTTTCACACCCCATAATCCTACTGAAAATTGACTCTATAACAGCTGATTGTATGAAGGATAAAGCCCTATATTTCTTAGCTACCTCCTTTTCATATTGCTTCACTTGTGCTAGTGTAGCATTTTCTCTCAAAGGCGGTATTTCAGGATCATTTTCAACAGCATTCCAAAGGTTGACACCTTTAAGAAATGATTTCATTTTGACAGCCCAAACAGGGTAGTTAGAACTATAAAAAATAAGTGCATTTTGCTGAGTAACAGTTGAAGTTAACATCTTGATGAAGATTAAACTATGGATAAGTGACAAAAAAGGTTATAGATGGCTCAAAGATCGATTGTATCACTCTAATAGCATGTAATTAAATTGAGGAAGAAGATGAAGCTATGACAGAGCTTAAAACTACTCTATTATGGAGAAAGAAGTAAAACGGGAGAGTAGTTTTTCTTGACCAAAAAAAAAGACTCAACTTCATTTAGCATAAACCAAAATATTTATACAAAGTATACATGGTTAGCACTTGTTAACATAAGGGATAAGTGTTATTAACCAGTCATGCACAAAGACACCTCAAAACACAGGTGTACAGTACTTAATAACCAGTACAATGAAGCAAAATATATAGTAA